TAGTACTGACATAACGTATTTCTTCAAGAAAAAAGTTAAATATATCACATGGTTGTACTTATACTTGGTTAAAGAATTGATGTCGCTTAGTTTCACTGATTTTCCTCTTGGCCTTGTAATTAAATATTGGCCATTTCTGAGAATGAAGGTTTCATGTTAAAATAGTTACTAATTTCATTTTTCTTTTGCATACCTAGATAATTCTTCTAATTTAATTAAAAGTAAACTGGTTTTCTAAAGGTTAAATTTTATGCAATGTATTGAATGGCTGCTTTTTGTCAGCAAGATCGCTGTCCAAGCACATCGACAGTAATCATTACCCATACGGTTTCAAGCTAAGCTTTTTCAAAGTACTAACGCACATACGCCAAAGAATGTGTCCTCTCAGCACACGGTTGATTCCATTTAATCAGATTATCCGCTCGTGATGAAAAGTAATGGACAAATCCTCTTAAGTACCTACTTGGTGGGAACTTTCGTAAGACAAATGTTAATGAAGGCAGACCACAAACTGTGATTTATAATTGATGTTTTGAAAACTCTAAAAGTCCGACGTAGTTTTATTGAATATAAATTTAAAGGAGTGTAAATTAAACCTTGCTATTTGTTTAAGTATTAATAATTTTTCTTAACTTAATGGTGTTGCGATTTATCGGAATGCATTATTCTCTACACTCTTTTCTTTACTCAATCATTTAAACAAACCTAATTAGCATAATCTTAAGCAAACCTTCAAATAAAAAAATTATGTCCTTGAAAACTGAACTAGATCAAACTTACCACTACAATCTGTGTAATTTATTTACAGTTTGATCATGATTTATGATATGGTTGAATAACGTTTTATGGGGTTGGCAATAATTTATGATAGACTCGTTGAATTGGCTTGTTAAGGAGTCTCTTTTTAATAAACTTCTACGAAAACGTGTCTGATTAAAAGTTCCCGCCCGACAAGTAAATCGTAAGAAACAAAGATCATATAAAGGTTTTTAATTCAGCATCGATACAACATTTACGATTAAACATCGGACAAAAATGTTCACATAGAAAGTCTCTAAATAATTCATGGAAGAGTCTAATGAACAAAACGCAAGGTTTCAAATCAAATTATTCCATAGACAAAATATACTCATGCATTTCTGTACAATTTATATTTTTTCTTCTATTTTCTGAACCTCATAGTACTCAACTCTATTTTGGATTTCTGCGTGTTTGTGTTTTGCCCATGCATGCAACATTAAATTTTAAAAGGCAGGCGCATTCTTGGCTTTAAAGAAAGCAAAGACAGATTTAGGGAGTGACTATTAAAGTAAAACATGTATGTTTTAACAAAAAACCATATACAAAGAAACGAACAATGGGCGAATAGACAGTTTTTGAAAATAATCTAGTAAAATTACAGATTCTGAGAATTTTATTTAATAGTATGTAAGTTTAACTAAATTGGAATGAGATAGTAAAAATCTATTTACAGTATAATTTAATAGTAAATAAAAAAATATTAAAATTATAATACAATTATTAGCGCAAAGCTGAAAATATTAAAATCTTAAAAAATATTTTTGTATCGGTTTGTTGACTTTTGCGGCTTGAATAACCAAAAAAAAAAAAAGATTGAAATAATTTAATACACAGTTAACTTTATCGTAAAAACATTCACACAAAAGTTTAGCTTTTATGTTCTTCGACTTGCTGTAAATCATTTTGAAATCGTAAAACTGTTACATAAATTACAATAAAAAGTAGAAATGGTTCTGCCGATGGAAACATGGGCCGAAATTTGCACCAGGCTGAATCTTGCTTTAATGAGCTGTTAGAACATTCAGAGCGTCCTGTTAATCGAGGTTTTTTAAGAAAATTGTGACGAAATTTTTCTTTTTGTACCATGAACAAGTAATTTACTATCGATTAAAATATAAATAAATAAATTGGTGATTGGTCGAAGAAGTCGGAGAAGATTTCGCTTATCCGAAAAGCAGTGTTTGGGAAAAAGTTGTCGTTAATAACTTGAGAACGCTTGCACCAAGTTAAAAACCGTTTGCACGAAATACGATGACTACCTTGCCTTTTAATATAGTTAAGTTCCTATCCTAGAGAGTTAGATCAAAACGTTCTGGTTCATGAGAAATTAGAAGAAACTAAATATTTTTCTCAAAAAGACCCCAGAAAAAAAAGAAAAAACTCACCCGGTATGTGTATATTTTACCCTACTTTGATTGCCGCTTGGCCACAAATTATGTATAATATCTGCGATTCACATGGTATGGCTAGCTGCCAAATACAATTTTGACGTAGTGACCGAGTGAATAATTTTTTTTTGTTTAACAAGAAACAAAGTTGATATTCGTTTTCTGTTCAACCAAAAATCTCCGAACACAAATTTCGAAAATCACAAAAGAATCATCTTTTAATAATTTTCGCTACAAATATTACAAGGATTTGATGACCTAAATAAAATAAATTAGAACAGGAGATATAAAATAGAAGGTTTAAAATAATTTTGCTGATTTCCTCCTTATTTTTTTTCGCTTAAAATATCACGAAATCTAAACGTTGTAAACATTAGGGTTAAGGCAAAACATTCTCGTTTTCCAATGGTTGTCATACCGTTGAATCTGTACAAATACCATACGAGGTATGCATTTCAAAGTGAAAAAAAAAAACAGAACACCAAAGAGAGTGAGATAAAATTGCCCAGGCTAATCGAGTCTAAATATGAAAAATAAATTGCATTTAAGTTATTGAAAAAGCGCTTAAAACTGATTTATATTTTTTACCTGCTTTACTGGAAGCGTTTTTCATATGTTTAATGTTTTTGTCATATGTTTAATTTAACGCAATACTGTGTATTATTTTTTATCATATATTTCAAAAAGATTGAATGATATTTACGCAATAACTTGTTGAATCGTGAGGAGCGGTCAAGGATGTAGTATTTTAGAAAAACACCATTTATTTTTTTTGCCAACGTTTCGAATTTTATTTGGGACATCTTCTGGGACTAAGTGAATTACAAAACTCATTTTGATTGGGAAAAATACAATACAGTCGTAAATATAAATTTTGAACCTAGTATTGCATACTCACATAAAATGTGGTGCTATTCTTGTGTGAGTATTAAATACTAGGTTCAAAATTTATATTTACATCTATTGTAGTATGTATTTTTCCAATCTCCCTCTCTCTCTCTCTCTCTCTCTCTCTCTCTCTATATATATATATATATAT